AGTCTATGTGATGCTACAGTAAATATGTACTAATTATAGATTAATTAGGCTTAAAATTTTTTTTACACGAATTAGCTATCAATTATGTAATTAGTTTCGTAAGTAGTCTATGTTTAATACTCCAAATTAGTGTCCAAACATCCGATATGACATGGACTAAAATTTAGTCCCGGATCCAAACACCCCCCAACATCAGAAAGCTAACAAAGTACTCTCGTTTCTAAAATACTAGGTGATCCTCGCGCTTTGCTGCGGGAATTACTAAGTAATTTTTAATATTTTTTTCGATTATCGAGCTAGGATTAAAAAGAAAAAAAAATGAAACGCGAGGGTTCATGAGGACTTATCATAAAACAAACAGATGATACCCACGATTTAACGTGGAACATGTATATGTTAAATATTATAAATGATAGATATATTTGTTAAAATATTGTGGAAATGATGTGAAGAATAATGATTAGAGATATACTTGCATGCTGGTTTGTAGAATTAAATAAATTATAGATGATTTTATATGTTTGTATGAGGTTAAATATATAATTATTGTTAGTGGGTGATGATGCATGTGACATGGTTACATGTTGAGATTCAGAAGTTAGGGGGCATTAACTTTATAGTAAGATAGTATTAACATATATCTTTTTAAATTATCAGTCTGTTATATTTTCCCAGAATTCTTGCTATCAACACCACTCTTAAATATTGCAAATTAATTCTTGATTGAGTAAATTGTACTCACGATAGATGAGTTTACAGGTGGAAACAAATAGGTGCAATAACTTACAAAACACTTATTACTCTGCAAACTTGGTTAGTCCGTGCAAAATTGGTTAAAACCTGCCACTCCCAGCGAAATGATTAATTAGATGACGCTATCTTTCTTATGATTCCAAGTTTTCAACCCATGCTAGCAGGATAGTACAAATTTCTTCTTAAAAAATGCAGGACAGTACAAATTGTTCTTTTTCTGCAAAACCCGTAACTTGTAGCTTTATATTTAGGCCGGGTTTAGTTCCTAATTTTTTTTCAAAAACATCATATCGAATCTTTGACCACATGTATGTAGCATTAAATATAGATAAAAACAAAAACTAATTACATAGTTTGCATGGACATCGCGAGATGAATCTTTTAAGCCTAATTAGTCTATGATTAGCTATAAGTGCTACAGTAATCCATATGTGCTAATGACGGTTTAATTAGGCTCAAAAGATTCGTCTTGCGGTTTCCAGGCGAGTTATGAAATTAGTTTTTTCATTTGTGTCCGAAAATCCCTTCCGACATCTGGTCAAACATCCGATGTGACACCCAAAATTTTCCTTTCGCGAAGCCTTAAGGTCTCTATATTTTCCAGTGGCTAATTTTGTTTTGGGAATTTACTCCATGCTAGTAGTTCCAGACTTCCAGTGTGGTTCCAGCGGATGAGGCTATCCTTGCTTTATGCAGTTTTCAGTTGTGTGAAGTTGTGTGCCATTAACAAATCTTTTCACTCCAATTTGTTCTCACCATAACTGGTTTATAAAAAATAATTTATAAAAAATGCTTTTATATATGTGTTTTTAATGAGTTAAAAATAAAGACTAAAAAAATAAACATCATAGAAAAAAAAATCCTAAAATCAAACTCCAAATTTAAATTTTATCTGATAAGTCGATTGACATAAGCATAGTCAGCCTGCTAACCTGTTTCGGAATCCACGCGGTGTAGCGCGTGAAATCTTTTCTAGTAGCTCTAATACAAACAAATGCAGTCGCGAGATACTCGTTCGTACAGTTGGAATTAATTGAAGCAATTAATATATGTGTTGCATTGTTGCACGGCTGAGAAGATTTAGCTGGTCATTATCGATTGAGCAGAGCAAATATTAATGCATCACTTTGTGACTTTGTGAGAGAATTTTTGACTCCTTAATATGTTCTGCTACTATTAAAGTATTAATACTATCCTGCTGAAAAAGATATAAGGTGTACAGCCTTCAATTTGATACAGTTTCCAGTGTTAAACTTTAATATCATTAAAATTTCTAAATATATTATCACTAACCAGGAAATTAATTGAAAGTGATACAAATCCAATACATGGCACATATGTGATGCTAAATATATTACCCGCTCCGTTACTGAACAATGCACAATCAAACTTGGCATGACCTACAGAATTAATCTTTAACTTTAAATTTCTCATATATTATAATATTTATGATCACAAATCATAATTATAAGAAAGCAAATTAAAATATCAATCTAATAATACTATTTTCATCAAATAAAATTTAATTTATAATAAAATAATTATTGACCAGATATTTAAACAATTGAATATTAGAATACGTGTGTGTCTTATTCAGTGAGAACTGAGATGGAGGGAGTAGTATTTTCACAAAAATTAATTGGTATTAGCTTAATTATTTTTGAAAAAACTACAAATGTAATTTTCTCCAAATACTCCCTCCATCTACTTTTGATATATAGGTATATTTTCAAATCTGAAAAATTTACTTTTGTTAGGCATATTTCAATTGAACCACCTATCATCTTAATGATTTTTTCAGATTTAATGTGTGACTTTTTATTTTTCCACATAAGATTGACTACATAGGAATCGAGAAATGTAAATATTAATGAATTGCTTGTCTACGAGTAATAACTAGTAGCATGTTTAAATGGATGATAAATAGAATTACTTGTCCTTTGTCATTGTGCCAAGATGAAATATAGAGAACGTATGTACGCGAGGAGCTACAGGGGCTACATTATTACTATAAACAATGACTTTTCAATAGAAAATTTAAAGCTATCACTATTAGCGATATATTTAATGAAGTGATTGAAGATCAGCTATAGTGAAGACCTGTTGGCAGATTTTTGATTGGCTGTAACAGGATGGATAACCATCCATCGACGCCGGTAAAATAATCCTATACACATACAAACTACTCTTATAATCATGCATGCACGCAGCGGGGGGCAATATGGCAATTACTCCTATAGTCCTATTTGCTTGGCATGCATATATTACACACATGCATTCTCCTACATATCGTGTTGACTGCAGATGAGTCGTCGCATGAGCAGACACCAGATGATGAATCCATTTCTGCTGGCGGTAGAGGTACGCCGCCATGAGGGAACCGGCCGTACCTAGACAATAACATCACACACAGTAGCATCCCCACACGTTGCATTGTACTGCATCTGTTTCCAAATATGTGATATTGTTATTTTTTGAATTTGATGTTTGGCTATTCATTTTATTTAAAACTACTTATGTATATTTATTTTATTGCCACTTGTTTTTATTGTTACATATAAGAAATTTAAACACAACCTACGTATTTACATATTTATTACATGCACTACTTAATTTTTAAATAAAAGAAACGGTCAACACATAACGTTTAAAAGTAAACCATGTCATGAGTAAAAAAATAGAGAGAGTAGTACTAGTAAATTAATTTTGCTAGGCACATACTCCCTCCGTCCCACAAAGAGAAGATTTCCGGAGGGAAGGCTTTGTCCCACTAAAAACCAATTCCTGCACACAAAACCGGAAACTTTCTCTCTATCGTATCGTGTGTGGGCCATAGGTGGACGGCGACTTCTCTTGTTCACACCACACAAAACTTACCACCTCCCAGATTTCTCTCGTCTCTCTCTCTCTCTCTCTCTCTCGCTTTCTCCCCGCCGCCCTCTCCTGGATCGATTCCATCGACACGGCGGCGTCCAGATTCCCTCCCTACCTCTGTCCCGCTCCTCCCCGCACATCCCTCCCCACTCCACGCCGCTCTCCCTCGCTTCTGCATCTCCCTACGGAGTTCCTCGTCTACCAAGATGCGGGCGCTTGGATACGGCGGGGGAGGGCTGCGAGCAGGTAGATCTGATGCCAGAGGCGGTTCCGGTGGAAGGATTTGGCTCGGTAGCTCCTTCCCCTTCCCCATGTCCCTCCCACTCCTCTCTGCACGTCCCTCCTTCTCCACGCCACTCCCCATCGCTCCCGCATCTGCAGTGACGGCAGGAGATGGATGCGGCAGAGACGGCAGGAGATGGATGCGGTGGATGGTACGGCGGCGACGGCAGGGCATGTTGTTGTGATGCAGGAGATGAAGGCGAAAGTTTGCATACCTATCTGTGGCAGATCTGATGCAGGAACCTGATTTCATTTTTTTCCCTCTATTCTTAGTTCTTCTCTGTTCTTTGATCTTGCCAAAGTTCTTGCAGGTGAATTCAGAATATTTCTTTTTTTATTGGAGAGATGTTCCCTTTTCGGCAAATGTAATCTTTTCTTGAGGCAAATGCAACTCAATTTTTTTTTGCCTTTCCTCCAAAGTACTGGAGTAAGTATACTAAATTAATGTGTGCAGAGAATAGCAGTGTTGATGGATAAACATAGTTAATGAGGGTATTTTAGTAATTTCATGTTAATTCTAAACTTGCCTCGAGAATCTTAGGAATCGCATTTTTTGGGACGGAGGGAGTACATAGTAATGTAAAATTCAGTTGTACCGAAATTAAAGCTTATGGGAATATTGATTCTGGTGTTCCAAATAATTCATTGCCGCAATTAGAAGATGATTTCGCTAGAAGAGCTAAAAGCAAGTATAATTAATAATGATTCCTATCTCTCCCATGACCATGATTATATCACCAGATACTGATAGAATTATATAACGGAACACATGCATGTTGTACAAACGTCGAGATTCAGAAGACTTTTACTACGTCGTTAACGTTGATATTCAGAAGACTGGAGCAATATTCATCAATATTGTTGAAGATGAATTCGCTCGATAGAGAGATCATATTAATTCCAACTGGATCGCCCATGATGTAATTAAATCACCTGATACTGATAGAGAACACATGCTGTAGTACATCATTGAGATTGAGAAGACTCTAGTAGAGTACCTAGGTCGATCTGAGTCCAACTCCCAACGACCTAGCAGCGACTGCCATCAATGGATGTATATATGATTCCATCTATCATCCGCATCTCAGCTCGTTGCCCAGCATCTTCCTATTTATACCCTCCACCCATCGACCGACGATCCATCACCGGCGACGAGGAGACACTCACTGATATAATCAAGCTAGCTAGCTTAATCACCTAGCTATCCGTCAGTTTAGCTAGATATGGCTGCAGTTAACTGCAAGGTGGTGGTCGCCGTGATTGTGGTGGCGATGGTGGTTGCGGCGCCGGGGGCGTCGGCGGCGATAACGTGCGGGCAGGTGGGATCGGCGATCGCGCCGTGCATCTCGTACGTGACGGGGAGGAGCGGCCTCACGCAGGGATGCTGCAACGGAGTGAAGGGGCTGAACAACGCCGCCCGCACCACCGCCGACCGCCAGGCGGCCTGCCGCTGCCTCAAGAGCCTCGCCGGCAGCATCAAGTCGCTCAACCTCGGCACCGTCGCCGGCGTCCCCGGCAAGTGCGGCGTCAACGTCGGCTTCCCCATCAGCCTCTCCACCGACTGCAACAAGTATATCATCTCTCTATGACTCCTCTCTCTCTCTCTATATATATATATACACGCATATATCTCTTTATTTTTTACGTGCTATCTAAATACTCCCTCCGTTTCAGGTTATAAGACGTTTTAACTTTGGTTAAAGTTAAACTTCTCTAAGTTTAACTAATTCTGTAGAAAAAAGTAATAATATTTAAATACCATCATAGTTTCATTAAATCCATAATTGAATAAATTTTCATAATATATTTGTCATGGGTTAAAAAAGATACTACTTTTTTACTACAAAATCAGTAAAACTTACAGTATTTTAACTTTAACCAAAGTCAAAACGTCTTATAATCTAAAATGGAGCAATAGTTAATAAAAACTTTTACAAGTTAAGATAGATTACCATATGTGAGATATATCTCACTTCATAGACATAAAAGATTAAATTCAACTTATACAAGTTAAATTAAAAAACAAACTAAACTAACACTAGTTAACGTATTTTCGCTATTATATCTGTTATTATTGTTACAACTTGTACAAGTTTAATTTAAACATGTATATTTATGGACATGCATATTTAATATTAATCTATCTTATCATTTTGTTTTACTTTTTAATGGCTATTAAGGTGGGGGGATGAAAGCAACAATGAGATATTTCTCGAGATATGAAACATTTTCCCATAAAATAACTACCTATATATATGCATTTTTTTTCTTTGGTGCAGGGTCAGCTAGATCAATTAATCCTGCTTGGATCGATCGATCGAGCTTAACACGCTAGCTCGATCGGAGTTGATCAGCTAGTAATTAAGCACGTATTTGCTACAGCATATATGAACAAAGTAATTAAAATAACACCTGCGGCAGACATGCAGCGCTCCATTCTCTCTCTGTATCAGCTGTATACTTTATGTTGCACGCTCCCTGTGTGCATGTTCTATCTTAATTTTCTTCAGTATGTACACGATCTGTGTGTACTACGTGTAATCCTATACGTTTTATGAATTGCATGTTGTCCAAATGTCTTTGTCCTAGCTACTAGCTACTCCAGCTTCTTGCTGAGGAAATCTGCAGTAGTAGTAATCCCTCGTTGTGATACGCAACAAAATTGTTTAATGTGATCCTGCTATATATATAGAAAATCATCTCTATTATTTTACAGGCATAAAACAAGTCCACTCTAAAAACAATTAGTGCGGCCGTTGTCTTAATAGACCCGTATGTGAAAATCGTTTTTCACAAGCAGTTCCTTAAGACAACTTCATGTATCATTATTGTAGTATGTCAAAAAGATGCACCACACTATGCACAGTCATACAAAATGGCACTACTACACAACTGATCTTTTATCGGGATATCCATTTCGGATAGATTTAGAACGGGTATTAGAGATATTTTTAAGCACCGGTTACCAAAAACATCTTTAATTCCGATTGGTGTTATAACCGGTACTAAAGATGCCTACAGGGCTAGTTTAAAAAGAAAACATCCATATCCATGTCTGATGGGTGGAGTTGGTGGATGGTTACACGCGTGAGGGCTGAGGTGAGAGATCTTGAGTTCGAATCACATATCCCACACATTTTTTTTATTTCGTATGCATCTTTAGTACCGGTTATTTCAACTGGTACTAAAGATCGAGATATTTAGTCTCGATTTGTTAGAACCGGTTCTACATCTAAAACGGTTCCCAACTGGTGCTAAAAATGGGTTCTCCACTAGTGTGGCAATACATTTACATTCACACATTAAGGATTCACATCGTCACCCATATTCACGTTGACACTGTCTTTTAATGTATAATTTAAATGTTCACATTGTGAATATTCGACAATGATAGGGAGCCCGATCCCTATCTACAAGTCTAAACCTAAGATTAATTTGATCGACATGAGCTAATGAATAGATAAGCGCACTATCTATTGCTTGAAATGGTAGATCCATTAATTTCCTTTTCATATATAGATTATTGTAAAAAGTTGTCGTTGGCTGATTGGAAATAGACTTGGGCATGAAACCTATACCCTCTGCAACTCCACGTAATCGAAAATCATCCTGGAATAGACCCAAGGATGAAATTTAGACCAAGGAACGAAATTGGGCATCTATAAGTGTGGGGAGACAAAAATAAACGGTTTCATAGAGTTAAATGATCAAAGTTGGAACAATATTGCAATAGTTGATGATTAAATTAATTAATGTGGACTTCTTTAAACCATATATAGACTGTGTTCGGCAGCGCTGTTCCTAACACTACCAGTACGCACGAAAAATGAAACGGTCCATTAGCGCGTGATTAATTAAGTATTAGCTATTTTTTTTAAAAAAAATGAATTAATTTGATTTTTTTTCAAACAACTTTCGTATAGAAACTTTTTAAAAAAACACACCGTTTAGCAGTTTCAAAAGCGTGCGCACGAAAAACAAGGGAGGAGGGTTGAGAAAAAGGGTGCCGAAGTATTGTGCGCTAGATACTGGTAGGGGCATTGTTGTCCATCCTCGGAAGTGGCTCAAATATAACGTGCCACGACATTAGCGCCATTTCTTACACGAAAACGAAACAGGGAAAACTAATTGAACAAATAGAGAGATATGTAGCTAGCTAGCTTTCAGAGTCCACTTTTTGAGAGAGCTCAATCCAATGTGTGGTTTGGCTGCAGCGACGAACCAGAATAATCTCACTCTGCTGGTGCACCCAATCACCAAATCCAAAGGAAATTCAATGTACAACAAAATTAAAAAGAACATCTTATAATTTGTCTCCTCCTCCTGCATATGCTTGACTCCTAGCTTAACTAGAGGTACCTGCAGCCAGCCATGCGGCGGCTGGGTGACGTCGTGGAGGCGCCTGCGCTGGTGCTGACGCCGGCCTCCATGCAGCAGGCCGGCGGGAGGGGGAGCTCCGGCGCCTTGGACGCCAGCATGGTCGTCATCCTCGCCGCGCTGCTCTGCGTCGTCATCTGCGCCCTCGGCCTCACCTCCCTCATCCGCTGCGCGCTCCACTGCGCCCGCGGCCTCTCCCCCACCACGGCGACGCCGACGCCGTCGGTGTCGACAGCTGCCACGGCCGGGCTGAAGAAGACGGAGCTGAGGAGGATTCCGGTGGAGGTGTACGGCGCCAAGCAGGCCGGCGTCCCCGACGGCGAGTGCGCCATCTGCCTGGGCGACTTCGCCGACGGCGACAAGGTGCGCGTGCTCCCGAGGTGCCACCACGGCTTCCACGTCCGCTGCATCGACACGTGGCTCGCCGCGCACACGTCCTGCCCTACTTGCCGGGACTCCATTCTCTCCGTCCATGGAGTCGTCGCCGGCGGCCAAACATAGCTAGTAATATAATTTCTTGAACAGAAGAGGTCTAAAATGTAAATAGAATATAGGTGGTAAAGTACTCCAAAATTGGGATTGCGTAAATGCAAGGGATTGGACACAATGTTTGAAGTGTCTCTGTCACTTGGATTATCCATCTGTTTAGCTGTTTCTATGAGTTTTCTCCTTTAATTTGTGTGCTAGCACATGATATTTCCCCCAAGATTCGCTGTTCGTTTGTTCTGGGCATAATTTTGTCACCACTCAACAACAAAACGAAAGGAGAGAAAGCACTGAATTGGTATTTTCTTTTGGAAGAATTGCATTGGTATTTTGGATGCATGTTCAGCCAAACTTTTCCCCCAAGTGACAAGTCCTTTTCTCAAATTGGTGTTGTCCAGCATCTAATCACCTCCCATGCCAGAGACCTTCTTCCTTTCCCCTTTTCTTCACGTTGCCAACTAGTACTAGTAGCTAAGAATAAGATGGCTCCATGCCAACGTTCTGCGCTCGAGTTATGGCACAAGCATTGGAGTAAAAACTCAGAAAATGTTCAATTGTTCTGTTCAAATAATGCTTCAAAAAAATAACGTAGGATTTTGGGGAGAGGGTGCCTGGGGTGGCACATAGTAATACGTCTTCGGTGATGCTAAATCTTATGTTTGGATTCCTCTAAAATTCTCTACGGATATATTAAGTCATTCCATATAGGTTTCTAATTGATTATCTTTTCTTCTTGTTAGAGTTTGTGTGAATATGTATATAAAGTCGGTTTCAGTTTAGAACTTTAAGTTTAATAGGAGTAGGGTAGAGTTAGAGTCAAACTCTTTCAGCTCTCTTAAATAGAGAGGCAAACTTATTATAATTAACCACATGACAACTTAGCATAGGCGAGAGGGAATGGCTGTCGACGATGTCCGACCGAAGTTTGTTGTACCTCTGATACGCTGTAATTATGCTACATCTAGTACGAGTGTTCATAATCAGTGTCCAGAGATATAGGATTCGGTTGAATTTCGTTAACAAATATTGTATCTCGGTGTTGTCATCACGTTTGGATATTCTATGACGTTTCTTAGTGTTTGGATCTCGATGTGCAGGCCACGGCCAAAACGAATACTACGATGCCTGCACGTCTCAAATTTCCTTCCTTGGAATCTGCCGCATCTCAAATTTCCTTCCGCATCTCAAATTTCCTTCCTTGGAATCTGCCGCCTCCACTGAAGTAGCCGAGGCCCAATAATATGCCCCGCCACATTACTGGAGCTCCCCCACCATGTGACCTATAAAAAATGTTTTGTGTTTTCATACGTGGGCTTTGATAGTGTGCAACCCGGCCCACCGACTGTGGTCACATTGGGTCTACTCCACTACAAACTCAATTGGTACCACAACTTTAGCTCATGGGCCTACACAACCTAAAAGACTAGTCTGATAAGTAACGACCGTCCTCACCTTTTAAATTGTACCCCTCCATTAACAATTACGAATGTGGGACTAAACCCAACAATTTCAATGGATATATATGTGGTAAAAAAATCCATGTGATTTTGATCCTATGAGATTTCTCCCTTAATTTGTTCCTTTATTCGAAGTGGTGTCTATCTTATCTCCATTGCTATCCAAATATAGTACTATATTCTTTGTAAAACAAAATGAAGAACCGACTTGACTGTGGACTAGTATCTACGATTTGTTGGCAACATGCATCCTAACTTCCCCTTAGAAGAATATTTTTTTTAGATCATCCTTAGAAGCATGGGCGGAGCCACCATGATTCCTGCATATTCCCAGGAATACCCAACTTTTTTTTATCAAAAAACAAGTATACTTCAATATATGCACATGTACACATATTAATTAGCCAAGTACTCTTCCTCACTGAGATGCGTATAGATAAAATAGTTGAAAGGTTTAAAAAAGTGAAAAATCTTCCTGATCTTTCCATTATGATTGTTGAAACAAAGTTGCACAATAGACATGAGATTATTTACAAGCTTCTCAAATTGGTTATAGTACTTCCAGTAGCAATAGCTAGTGTTCAAATAATCTTTTCTGCCATGAATTATGTGAAGAATAAATTGAGAAACAGGCTGGGGGATCAATACTTGAATCATTGCTTGGTCACATTTATTGAGCGTGAGATGTTTTTGAAAGTCAAGGACTGTGATATTATAAACCGCTTTCAAGTCATGAAGGAACGTAGAATTAAAGCTACTCTTCCAAACCATGAATGAACCGAAATAGAAAATTAGAGGTACCATGTAATAATTTGTAGTTTTATTTCTTCGATTATCGGTATTGACATACTGTGAACCATTGATTTTTTTTTACTATGAACTTTTTTTTGTTAAACGGGAATACCCAACTTCGAAATGCTGGCTCCGCCACTGCTTAGAAGAAGTTAAAGCAGAACATCTCTAATTTATTTATTTGTTGGAGTAGGTAACTTGTATGGGTTGGTTGATTCCAAAATGAGTACAACACTGAAAGGAGGTTTTAAAGGATGTACAAGACTGAAGACTGCACACCAAACTATGGCAGTACAGTACTATTCATGAATTTGTGTCATGATGTTGCTCTCAAAGATATTCTGGTGTCGTTTTCCAGCTTCATTTTGCAAGCTCAATACACAAGTTGGAAGTTGGAACCACTGGTGGACTTAATTCGAACATGAGCAGTACAGGGACAGATTCCTACCTTCACTTCTATCACTGTCTTAGGCTGCTTGCATCAGATACACAAGTAAATTTGAAACATATACATTTGAGTATGTTTCCTCTGCTTTGGAGCAAGTAAATCATGCATTTGAAGTAGTAGGGAAATCAATACCATTATCAATTGTAGCATGCACATGAGAGCAGCTGGACAAATCAAAGCATGATCGAATTAAAAATGAAAGGGAAACGGGCAACATTACTACAGTAGTTTATTACTCCATGCCTCATGCAGAGAGCAGTGCTGCGAATTGATCTGCCAGGCTCTTCACAGTCGTCGGAGAAACTGCAGATTCTCCACCCAGGTACCACTTCTGAATCATCTCGGCCACATTCTTGTTCTCCACTGTCAGCTTCGCCTCGCCCTTGCCTTCTGTCACAAATGATATCTGCACACATATATGCATGATTCAATTAGGTTTGCAAGAACAAAGATTTGATCACTTGATATCTTAACCAAACCCAGCTGAATATAAGGAGTACTCTACAAGATTATACCTCTGCAATTCCAGGGGTGGTAGGAAAGTGGAAGGTGATGACGGAGTTGGGCTTGAAATACTTGGACTGAAAGAATTCGGTGACCTTCTCCAGAGCCTCTTCTTCATCCTCCTCGTACTTGTCTACTGACACGAGACGGTCACGCACTGAACTCTCCAGCTGCACGCCGTATTGTGATCCTTTGATCTCCTTGATCACCACTATCCTCAACAATTTCTCCACCGGAGCTACCACACGTAAACATCATCAATCAGCATGATTCAAATGAAATAATGAAAAAAAAAAGTTATTGCTGTAATGCATGAGCTGTCGAGCTGAAGCTGAACCTTACTCTGTTTTATTTTATAGGATATAACAATGTTCTATAAACTCTACAGAGAAAATACTACTATTTGTGATTTGTCACTTGAAATGGGAGAATGGCATTGACATACTGTAGAACAGGCAATTCTAAATCAGCTTTTACAGATTCTGAAGTGCAAAATCTGAATGATGGGGGTCATTTTAGTTACCAGAAACTAGGGCCTGAAAGAAGCCATCATCCTGCACAAGCTCCTCGGCCTTCTTGCCCTTCCAACTCTCCAAATGCGCTAGCACATTGTCCTTTTCAAGATACACCCCGATGGCGTTGTATTTGATCTGAAGGAAATGGATCTCAATGTCTGTGATGCCTGCAATTGGTTATTTCAAAGGCGTTTAGAGGCTTGTGTTGTACTGATAATCTGATATTAGTTAACAGCTTAATTCGTTAGTAGATTAATTAATTACCATTAGCAAGCAGTGACAATGGCTTACTGACGGTTATCTCCTGAGGAAATGGGATGCCCTCCACCTCCACGGTGGCTATCTCTGTGCCCACTGCACTTACAACAATCATGCAAAATGCAACTAATTGGGCATTGAAATCTTGTAATTACCAGTACATGTATGGTCATGTTTTGTATATAAGCATATTTCAACAACCTTCACATACTACTTTCAGAATTTCTCTAAATGTACAAGCTAGTGCAAAGTCCGAAGTGGGTATGAAGCTACCACCAGAGTTTCAGATGGAATTAGATACATTCATTCATGAGAAAGTCTTTTTGAGTTCTTGATATCCCTTTTTTTTAGAACCATGAGAATGTCTTTTCTTGATATCCCTCAAGACGGACGAAAGACAGAAGGCCTGTTTGGTTGGTGACCTGAGCACCACGCCTGAAGAATTTGCACTCCAACAAACTCATGGGTTCCACCTGACGAGTTGCTTGTTTGGTTTGCTGCTGCTGCCTGATCGAGTAGATGATTACTGCTAACTCAAGTATTAGACGGGAAGAACAAAAATCTCGACAAAACGGCTTGGCGTCTCGGGAAAAATCTCACAAAATCCATATGCTACATACCTAACTTTCCAAAAATATCCCCAAAGTCGCAATAACGATCAGCAAAATCAGCAGCATCAGCTGAATTGAAGCTTCGCTCTAAGCTGGATCCGGCAAAGGGGATCACGCGAAGCTTCGTACAAACTCGACCAACGCGGGGACTTCGCTCAACGACGACCACGGCAGTGGCTTCGCTTGCCGGCGGTGGCGATTGAGGTAGGTGTGGGCTTCACGCAGTGGCGTCAGATCAGGGGCAGCCTCGTGCGATGGCGGCACGCGGTGATGACTTCGTACAGTTGAGATTTCGATGGTAAAGCACGCATTTGTTTACGCCTGGAGCCTCGGGCGACAGAAATCGGCCGCGCTAATTGCACGCCTCTATGGCTGGAGTATGCGTCAGGCCAGGCCAGTGGAGAACAGTCTTGGGTAGCAACCAATCAAGATCGACACAAATCTTTTAAGCCTAATTACTCCATGATTTAATAATATGGTGTTACAGTAAATATTTTCTAATGATGAATTAGTTAGGTTTAATAAATTCGTCTCGCAATTTACAGGCGAAATCTGTAATTTGTTTTGTTATTAGACTACGTTTAATACTTCAAATGTATGTCCGTATATTCGATGTAACACGGTAAAACTTTTCACCCCTGGATCTAAACACAGCCTAAAACTTTAGTCCCTATCACATTAGATGTTTAGATGCTATTTTAGAGTATTAAACATAGACTAATTACAAAACTAATTGCATAAATAAGACCTAATTCATGAGACGAATTTTTAGGCCTAATTAATCCATGATTATAGTCTATGTGATGCTAGCATTAAATATGTGCTAATTATAGATTAATTAGGCTTAAAAAATTTATCTCGTGAATTAGCTCTCATTTATGCAATTAGTTTTCTAATTAGTCTATATTTAATACTCGAAATTAGCGTCTAAACATCCGATGTGACAAGGACTATATTTGACACTAACTAGAAGTATTAAATATAAATTAATAATAAAACAAATTACATAAATGAGAGTTAATTTGCGATACAAATTTTATAAGCCTAATTAATCCATAATTAGCATATTTTTACGGTAGCTTCACATAGGCTAATCATGAATTAATTAGGCTCAATAGATTTATCTCGCGAATTAGTCTAAGATTATAGAATAGGTTTTGTCATTAGTCTACGTTTAATACTTCTAATTAATATCAAACATTCTATGTGATTTAGTCCCTGGATTCAAACAGGACATAAGTCCAGGCATGCTTCTCTCAGGTAGCAACCAAATTAAACATGCTCGGAGTAATACTACTACTAGCAAGGATCCATCAGAAGGAAGCAAGAAAGAGAGATTAACTTACTTCTTAGCAATGGAACCAGAAGGAGGTTGGAACTGAAACTGCTTTTGCTCCTTGCGATGAATAGAGAGCGCTAATTGTTGACGAGAGAAATAGAGAGGAGCTGAAGATCGAAAGAGCGTGAGTAGGGAAATGTTTTTATTCGCCAAGGACAACATATGAGGGTTGATGCAGGCAGGGGTTAGGTAGGAGATGAAGACAGGACAGAAGAAAAGAGGCGTGGCACATCTCAGACTTTCAGATACACCTACCACTCCGAAAGTTCCAAGCTCCCCACGAACTTAAGGAAAAAAAAACAAGAAGAGCAGCTAAATTGCTAATAGAAGGGGTAGGTACCATGTTCTAGATCGTGGCCAAAACATATACAGGTTCACACCGAACGATGCATTTAGCTTCAGATGTTTAGCTTGATGTCATTTTAAATCATATCTTTTTTTAAGTTGTTAAATATGTACATTAATTTAGTTTTTTTTATCAAACTTTAGTACTCCCTCCGTTCCAAAATATAGGTATTTTTAGACTTTGACACGGTCAACGAGATATTATTTTTGACCAATAATATCTATAAAAGTAAAATATTTTAAATAAAAAGAGTTATACATTATTGATAGTTTGTTTAATGATAAATCTAATAACATTAATTTTATATGAATGATCTTTTTTATCTTTTCTATTAATAGTCAAAGTTGAAAATGTCTGACTTGTCACTATGCTAAAAATGCTTATATTTTGGGATGCAGGGAGTAAATACGTAATAAATCATGTCAAAACTTGGCAATATTGCCAAATTGACAAAATTTGATAAGGTTTATTTTGGCTACAATCTAAGGCATAGCGGCACGACACCTCCCTCCACTGCGCAGTGCCTCATCCCTCGCCCTCGAGCCACACGCATACAAGCTTAGCTCCCGAGGAGGCCTCACCGACCAAGCAAGCAGCGGGGTGCACATCCACCGGCGCACGGGTGCTCGCTAGCTCACGCCGCGTTCGTCGACCGCGCCTGCACCGTCTCCTCCCTCCCACCGTACATCCCCACGGCGGGTCAGTTCCTCGTCTCCGGTCCCTGACTAGCGCTCGCGGAGGTCCAGGGCGGCCGCGTTCGCCTCCCTCAGCTGCCTCTTCTCCGCCCCTCTCTCGCCGTGCGGATCCGCGGCGGTGGCCCCAAACCAAGTGCTTAACTAGCGCTCTCCTCGCCACCACCTCCCCGCGGACGGTGGAGTTGACCGTGGCTGTGTGCACGCTAGCCTCGCATGGCTTGCGTTAGGAGGCTAGGCATTGAGGTCGACATTGTCGGTGCCAGGAGCTCCGCCGCGAGCTGGTCATGGCTCATCAAGCAGTGAGAGAAGCAATTTGGTCTCATCAAACCGCATTCTAGCGAAAATGGAGAAAATAGCTAAGTGGCTGTGATCACACACTCTATATTGGCATTTTAGCGAAACCTTTTTTTTTTAACGTGGCGAAATGTCCATTTTCTCAAAAGGCTGGGGACGGAGCACATATTTGATGGGCCGCCTGATCATTTAAGCCTAAACTGATGCTGGGCCGATGGGCTTCATGTACTGATGAACCAACCTGGGTGGAATCACCTCTTCCTTGGAATTCCCCTCTTCCTTATCGTCTTCATCGCATCACTTGAGCTGCCAGGTGCCAGCGTCACTCAGCTGAGCTATGGCTTCTCTCCGCCTCCGCCACCTCTCTCCCTCCGGCGCCACTGCACCACCCTCCTCCTTCGCCCAACTCCGCCGCCCTTCCTCCTGCCTCGCCGGACCACGACCTCTCCGCTCTCGTCTCACCCGTACGCTACGCCCGTATCCTTCCCTTCATCCCATTGTCCCAATCCCGACTTCTTCTTTTCTCAGCTGACTGCTTGAGTACTACTGCTTGTTCCTTTCTTTCTTGCAGGGGTGTATGCGCTGTCCAGCAACGACATCAGGGTGGGCTCCAACCTCGAGGTCGACGGAGCTCCCTGGAAGGTTATTGGTTCGTAATCGTATCCACTCACAATCTCATCTTCTTTCTTCCTTTCTGCTAGTACTAAAAACATACCTGATTCCTGGTTGGAGTCTCCCAGTGGATACAGTAGCTTTGTTGAACATACCTCATGTAGCCACAAATTTCATTATTTCAAGGCACATTATTATCTGCATTGCATATATAGGACCAGATGGGGGGACGAAAGCTGCTACCTTGATTTCTTTATCACATTTTAGGAAGAATAACAACTCCCTTTTATACAACTGCAATCCATGTTGTTCATAAGCAATGTGACACTCTAGTGCTATAAAAACCAATTATTTTCTTGCTTGTTACATCCACTGTTTCAGAAGAATTACCTCCTTTCATACCTTTCAGTGTGTACTTGAGCAAATTTGCTTCTGTTGGTTCGATTTTTCAAACTTCACATATAGCTTAGCTTGCCACAATATGTGAATGTTATTTGCTTTCCCAAGTATTCCCCGCTTTTCAGATCACTCACTGCTATGTTTCTTTCAGTTACTAGAATGGAATGGTAAAGCATACTCTAGTACCTATAAAATGAGCTTTAAGAGTTTCATTTGTTACGTTTGATCTAAATAAAATTATGTGTTTTTCAAAAAAATTCCAGACAAATCTATATCTGTGAAAAAACAAATGTTGAAATGTCATAGAGTATTCTGACAGATGTATATAATTTCTTGCCATCTATTGCTCATCTATTCCATTTTACTTTAGATGCTCGATATAAGAAATATAGCATATAAAACTTTCTGTCTTCATGCAACAACAGAATTTCTCCATGTCAAGCCTGGAAAAGGTGCTGCTTTTGTAAGGACAAAAATGCGTAATTATATCACTGGCAACACAGTTGACAAAACCTTTCGAGCTGGAAGTACGGTAATCCAAGCAGAAACTCACCTTTCTAAACCTGTAGAAATTACTCTCTCCGTTTCAGGTTATAAGACGTTTTGACTTTGGTCAAAGTTAGATTGCTTTAAGTTTTACCAAGTTTGTAGAAAAAAGTAGTAACATTTTCAACCCAAGACAAATTTATTATGAAAATATATTCAATTATTGATTTGATGAAACTAATTTAGTATTATCAATATTACTATATTTGTCTATAAATTTAGTCAAATTTAAAGCAGTTTGATTTTGACCAAAGTCAAAATGTCTTATAACCTAGAACGGAGGGAGTACCATTCTGTGACTGTATCAGATCATGCTTTAGCTTATGTAATCAGAAGCAACTGATATGATACTCATCAACTCTCCTTCAATGTGTTCTAACAAAGAAGAGCACTTATTTTGTCACTTTTGTTTTAGATCCCAGAGGCATCCATTTCAAAGGAAACTAAGCAATTTACCTACAAGGATGGAGCCCAGTTTGTGTTCATGGATCTGGTACATGTTTCAGTTTTTCATTCAAACATATCATGAAAAGAGTAGTCGCTAGCTGTCTGTATGCTTCAGTAATCAGTATGCAATGGAACACCCATGTTTGAAATTTAAGCACGTGCTAACCATATGGAATATGGTACTATAGAAACATATGAATTGAACTCGCTGATTTCTACAATGTAGAAACTACTGGTAGAAGTATCGTTTAAAGTTTTATGGACAGTCGGAAGTTTTACAGACAGACAGTCAAGTTTTAGAAACATATGAATTAAACTTGCCGATTCCTTTTGTTTTCAGCAAACTGCTGCCAAAAAAGAAGGCAAAGAGAATGAATGGTTCTTTTATGGTGTGTTCCCCAAGTGCATAATGTTACTTATCTTTATAATTTTCCTTTCCAGACTACCTTTGAAGAAAGTCGCTTAAATGAGTCAGATGTTGGCGACAGGCAGAAATGGTTGAAAGAAGGAATGGACTGCAATTTGTTATACTGGAATGGACGGGTATTTCCTGTTTTGTTTTTACATAATCTGCTGTCCAAATCCAATCAATTAATTGGCTGTTGTCAGTTCATATGTTCCTATTTTGTTTCAAACTCTTGATAATGTGCTGTTTGATTAGTTATGTATTCTTGCACAGAATAGGATATTGGTCACTGACATTAATATGTCCTGCAGATCATTGATTTTGATCTCCCCATCACCGTTAGGCTGACTGTAACTGATACTGACCCAGGGCAAGGTGACAGTGCACAAGGTATAACTGCATGTGAATATCACAATTAGAAAAAAAAATGTTTTCTTATTAAAGCTGACACGATCAGAATAATAATCTTTTAACTGTATATTTTGTAGGAGGAACAAAACCAGCAACCGTGGAAACAGGAGCTGTTGTCACAGTGCCCTCGTTTGTGAACGTAGGCGATGATATCCTGATTGATTCAAGAACTGGCCAGTATATGAACAGAGCATAGAAGAGATGAGAGACTAGACATCAACAGAGCATTAGTTTTTGTCTCCGCATTTTTGGCCCATTCCCTCACCTCACCCAGGCTTGACTGTATTGTTTACAGCATTTGAACCCTCGACAGGATCAAAATGCTTTCTCAAATTTTTGTACTGCATATGTGCGTACATATTTCACCAGAGCAGATGATTAATGAGACAAACACATTGTAAGATCCATCATCCATCTCATGGCATTTTCACATGTCTGCACACTCAAGCCGGGGTTCCGTTCTGAATAACATCAAAAGGAAGCTAGAGTTTAGCTACCGATGTACACCCCGAAAATGGCATACGACTTGGCGACAGTTGAACAAGCGAATCTGCAGATGGTTAGTGATGAAACAGAATGAGAAACTGTTACCAAGAAAATTCTCTCTATCTCAATGCACACATTTCTGAACCTTAAGATTTTCCGTGTCCTCTAATCCTTTTTTTTAAGATAATGGAAATAGGTTACATCTCCGGTCTCTGCCCGTAGGCATACAGCCAAAAAAGTCCAGAAGTGAATAGAAAAGAGCTTAAAAAAGGCGAGATGGGACAAACCCCCAACTTTTGCAGATAATATGAATTACTAAAATAATATTTTTTAAAATCACGTAGATTCTATCACAAAATTCTGTAGGTACTACGCCATCCAAACTGGAGTAAAAGTTCCTTGGCTACCAATTCCAAGCGTGTAGCAGCATTGCGCATAGTATCCTGTTGTTCCTGTGAAAGCATCATACACAGAGTGAAGCCAATTGGAACACATGAAGATAACCTGCATGATGTTAAGCATTTTTTTATGGTTAAAAACCATATCATTACAACAACGCCAAATTGACCAACATAGAACACTAGCTCCAAATAAAATCATTTTTCTGTGGGTCTAGGCACTCCCCTTAGCCAGTTACAAAAAAAAATATCTTTTGCATTGTGGGGAGGGGGATATTGAAGGCAAAAAAAGACATATCGCCAAGCAAAACGTGCAACATGACAGTCAAAGAAAAGATGTTGGATGGTCTCTTGTGTATTACAAAAACAACATTGCTTGTTACCCCTCCATTTTCTCTTTATGAGGTTATCTTTCGTCAAGATTACTTTTTTGTGAAGAAACCACATAAATACTTTGATTTTTAGTGGTACCTTTACCTCCCATAAGATCCTCTTGTGGATTCTTACATTGGAATTGATGATCGCATTATACATGGATTTGACCGAAAATTGGCCATTTTTATGTAGCGACCAAATAAAGCAATTCTTTTCATTTGACATGGTTATGTTAGCTAGTCGAGAAATCAAATCATTCCACTCAATTAACTTTGGTCCTACAATTGATCGACGGAATGAAACATTTAACGGTGTTATGCTCATAACCTCTGCCAAAGTAGAATGTCTCTTTCGAACCACATTGTACAGAGAAGGATATTGATATTTGAGAGGTTGCAAGCCCAACCATGTGTCTTCCCAAAATCTTATTTCCATCCCATTACCAGGTTTAAAAGATCCATACTGAAAAAAATATGATCTTTTACTTTCATTAGGCCAGCCCAAAATTAGAATGTTCCTTGTTGTGTCCTCTAATCCTATATTACTATAAAGTTATTCCCACTAACTCCTTAAGCTTAACATGCAAAGATGCCACATCACCATCCACTAATTAACAAGATGCCACATCATCATCCACTAACAATCATCACATTTAAACATCATGCAAATATGTTATATCTTTATAATTTTTATAATTTAAGAGCTTTTCAAATACAAACATGTTAAATTATCATCCAACATAATTCACATAATGTTTCAATGTATATCTTTATTATGTTTTATGATATTCTATATACTTATATAGTTCATCCTCACTTAGTTAGATTGAATGATTAATCTATGGTCCAAATTATCTTTGTCCTTTTTTCCTCTAATTAATTCATATCACATCAATTGCTTTTAGCCTTTAGATGATTAATCTATGGTCCAAGTTATCTCCCTACTTTTCTTCCTCCATAAAGTCGTGCCACCTTACTTTTTACGTTTGAATCACCATTCTACATACTATTTAAATTATTATAAACCACATTAATTTACTTAATCTGATGTTATCTAGCTATATTACATATTTTTTTTATTGTTATTATACTAAATTCCCGCAGCAATGTGCGGGGTTTCACCTAGTATAAGTGACTGTATCATACAAAGAAGAATGCTCACTCTGGGACTACCTTGTGTGATATTGGCATTGTAGTATGAATCCTGAAGAGAAATCTTATGACCTTTCCGGTGACTGGAGCTAGCTGGAACACATCACCTAGACTAGAATCTCTCACCAAATCTCAAGAAGAAGGCCCCTGTGCCAGCATTGTGATCAACAGCATACTCTGCCCTTACCGCACCAAGCTTGACACCGACGCCATAGGATGAGCCATGGCCAACACGTCTGAAAAACTCAGTAGGGTTCCCTTCCACATCCTTGGAGCTCCCAAGATCAGTGCCATGCTCAGCAAATGCATACACCTGCGTGTGTCTGTTCTTCACGGTGATAGGCACGCTCAGCTCAGTGGCAACCTTCATAGGTCACAACAATTCAGAAAACAAAGCAGTATTTTTTTTTTTTTGGAAATCTGAGTCTCTAAGCATGTAACATCATAAACGGTGAAAATTGTTCAACTGAAATTCTGAATTCAGCAATTCATGAGACTCAAAATTCACTGATGGACTAGCTAATACTCACCTCAAGAAGATTTCTGGAAGCACCCAATTCACCCATACCGTAGCCCCTTACTGAATGAGGTCCTCCAAGTGCAAATGCATCATAGCTTGGCAAATCTCCTACACACCCAGCATAACGGCCATGAAGAGCCAAAACAGCTGGTGGTGGCTTGCGAGAGCCTTTCTCTTGCTTGTTCAAATTTATGAATTTCGTCACTGTAAGCTGATGACGGTTGAAGAACGGGTTCTTGCTTCCAATGCCGAGACCTTGGTCCATCTGTAGCCGACAAGAAAACTTTGTTCAGAGAGTTTACTTTAGCATGGAGAATTTTGTATAAAAACATGCTACTTTTGAACAAAACTTATTAGCCCAAATATCATCAATATGTTTGCAAAAATGTTTTTTTTCCCAATAACGCACAAATTACTTGTTCACTATTCCTTTGAAACTCTTGAACAAATGTACCGAAACATTTCCTAAAATTTTCCAAAATATCGATCAGTCTCATTGGTCTTTTCAGGTGACAACTTTTTGCTACAGAGCTACCTGGCAATGAGTAAAGGTTGAGTTTGTGTTCCTAGAACCAGGGTACAAATAAGCATACCTGGAATATACATCTGTCACCGATTGTTGCACCATTGACGAACTCTGTATTGTCTCGAGTTATATTAGCTTGTAGAAACGCCATTCGGTCTACGCCAGTCCCACTTAAGGTTGTGGGAGGTCCAATCATGCTCAAGGCGCCACTAGGCAATTGTCGAGAACCATGTGTACATATATTGTTATTCTCATCGCGTGTTGTAATCTCTTCCACTATGAGGCCATACGTGAATTTGCTCTGCTTTGTGAAGCTCTGAATAAAAGATCCAAAATGCAGTTTCCTATATGTTGTTAATAACTGTCCATGATAGTTAAAAGGAGTGGAAGGTAATATCAATTGTGCAAACCTCTGTTATATTGGCTTTAAATCCAATTCTATCAACCCAGATAGGTGGAGCTTCATACATATTGGGACCAGCAACGAATATAGGACTCAATTTCCTGGAGTTGAAACAGCTAATTTTGAAGGTGCGGTTCCTACTAAGGTTGTCGATACCATCCAGATAAGGATGGGCATACTCCAGCTTGAACGAAAGATCATCCTAATACTCACCAAAATACCATACTATCATGTATGACTGATATAACAGCAGCCAAAAGCAGCATCGAAGCTGATGGGAAAAAGAAAAAAAAAACTAACTACCAACTCACCTCAGGGTTGAGCAAGTTGCTGGATGTAACAGAACCAATGAGAGACCTTTTTAGACCACAGATGTTGCGGTGCTCAAATGACACAGTTCCTCCTGGTTGAATGGACGCCTAAGAGGAAGTTGTGAGGTTATACAAAATGACTTGCAGTGATGAGGGAATGTATATATTCACAATGGTGTCTAGCATGTTAAGTACATATTCGATCTGGAAGAACAAAAGGTTGCACATTACCAGAGTTGGTCTTCCTTGAGAGCCAGGCACAATGCTCCAATCTGTGATCACCTGAGCTGATTTTGGGTCATGTTCCTTGAGCTTAATTGCAACTATTACTCCCCCTTGATTTGTCTCATCAGGGCGAGGCTGTACTTCTATAGTGGAGAACAAACCAAGCGAATCGATATTCTTCAGAGCCTGCTTCCCCGCCCCATTGTTGTAGATATGCCCAGGACGAAGCTGTAAGATATCAACAGCCATTTTATTGCACAACAGTCACATTGGCACAACTGGTACAATTATCAGAGAATCATAATCAAATATACGCAAAGCCAAGAAATTTGTTGCAAAATCAAACAACAAAATCATAGCCATCTGCTATTAAAAATGTTAGTTTTTCTTGTTAGACATGGAGCTTGACAGTGATACTAGCAACATTAACAAAACTTGGATCAAGAGACATTTTATTGCAAAACAGTCACGTTGGCTCAACCAGTATAATTATCGGAGAAATCGGCTAAGAAATTCGTCGCAAAATTAAACAACAAAATCATAGCCATCTGCTATTGAAAATCTGAACATTAATTTAGACATTGAGCTCGACAGTGATAGATACTAGCAAAATTATTTGTACGCAAACCTGTTGAGGAAGCTCCCTGTCAATGAGAGGGATGCTGGTGTTGCCGTCGACGACATTGCCGAGCTTGTCCAGGAACTGGTACTCCACCTTGGTGATGTCCCCCTCCACCACCTCGCACACCACCTCGCCGGCGTCGAGGTTGCCGTGGTAGCTGACCACCTGCGCGCAATGGAACCCCTCGTCGTGGTACCACCTCTCGATGCGCCCCGCCATCCTCTTGAGCAGCCCGGAGCTCACCTTCCTCTGCCTCTTCACCATCCCTTGCAGCTCCCTCTGCAACTTCTCCGGCAGTACGCACGGCTTGGCGCGGCGGACGAGCTGCTGGTACTCGCGCTCCTGCCTCCGGAGGTGTTCCATCCTCTCCCTCGCCGTCATGTCGTCGTCGAGCTCGAGCTCATCGCCGTCCGGCCGCGCCATGGGGCCGCCCACGTTGATGCACTTGAAGTGTTCGACCGCGGGCCACTCGGTCTCGGCGTAGGAGACGGTGAGGCCGAGCGTGCCGTCCGGCTTGGGCTTGGTTTGGAGGGTGACGTGGTCGAACATGCCGGAGGTGGCGAGCGCGTCGAGCTCGTCGCGCAGCTGCGCCCTGGTGTAGACGCCGCCGGGGCGCAGCGCGTCGAAGAGGGGGGCCTCCGCGGCGGCGGCGGCGGCGGCGCGGGTGCGGCAGTTGAGGAAGGTGAGATCCGAGACCTTGTACCTCTTCTTGCCGTCCAGCCTGGAGAGCGGCACCGGCAGCGCGCTAGCCGCGAGGCCGTGCGCGTCCCAGTCCGGCGACGGCTTCCCTCCGTCCGCGCGCGCCGCGCCGGCGGAGAAGAAGCCGGACAGGAAGCCACCGACTCCGGCGGGCCATCCCTGGCCCTGGGCAGTGCTTCTTCCATCATCGGAGGCGGAGTCGAGGGTGAAGCAGCTTGGCATTGCGATTGCGGTTGTTAAGGTTGGCGCCAATGGCGCGAGAGCACCACGACGACGACGACGACGGATGCTTCTGAATAATCGATCGCGCAACCAGTTTATGTTTGGAATGCCAGATTTTTCTTTTTCCGCAAGAACCAAGCAAAACTGATTCACACGAAAATTCTATACAAAATTCATGCTTTCCAAACAGGTCTTTTTGGGTGGGGAATGCCATACTTGTGTTCTTCCTCGAGATCACAAACTTGCCTAATTTTGCAATCTCCATATTTCCCCAGCGCTATATGGGAGCAAAGCAGCCAGGTACGATTTGAAACTATGCGGCCACAGGATAATCCAGAAATTTACAATGGGCTAAATTTGCTAAACATAAGATCCTCAGAGTGATACTACCACACATATCGTCAGGCTGTGTGTTCATTTGCAGCTCATGATCTCCAGTTTTTCACCTCTTCTCATCCCATTTGAGCAACATGGGGGGAAGTTGCATGTTTTCCTCCCTCTTTTCATAGCTCGATATGGTGAGAATGATTGGGAACATCTCCTTGGTTGTCCAGGGGCATGTACTGGGCCATGATGGCGCGGATCTCTGAATCCATGTACCTCTGTACACAGGCACAACCAATGCAAAAGAAAAAGCGAGAATTTAGATGCCAATTCAGAGTTATCAACAGAGTTAACCTGAACAAAGTTACCCATATCATACCCGGATCCTGTATTTGTATACTGCGTATCCTGCAATGCCTGCTACCACTAGGCCAAAGAAGATCACCCACAAGAAGTTCCATCCTACCTCTGTTGCTGCATTTTTGCCTAAATACAGACAAAGACAAATTAGTCTACTCACTTAAGTAAAATTTCTTCTATAATCTATACACTGACATTCTACACTTTCAATGGTTGCAGAATGCTGATCATGATTTATGTGGGTCCGTCAAATAGATCAGACAGACCGCAAAAGTATATGAATGCACAAGTAGTGGACTGTTTGATATGAAGAAAGAGCAACATATGCATGAGGAGCCGGGAGGGACATACTTATGCATGTATCATGCTCCTTCATATAAAGCAAGCCGCCACTGCAACCGCATTCATAGCTTCCCCATGTGTTCTTGCATTTGCATTCCTTGCACTGGCATGCAGTCCTTTCCTTGCATTCATCAATATCTTTCACAAAATATTTCACATCAGTACAAGGGGTCAAGTGCACAACAAGGGTGTATTGCAAGTGATATTTCACTAAAACTACAAGCTTTGCAGGATGGCAAGCACATCCAACAGCTGAACAGGGTTCACAAATCGATTCTTACCTTCGCATTTGTGGACTCCATCACCTTTGAACCCATCCGGACATTTACAACCATCATTCTGTACATTAAAAACAGCATAAATATGTTTTTAAATTATAACTACACATGCAGACAACAAATACCCCAACTGATGGCTTACCGTGCAGGCAGAATATGTCCGGCCATGCCTGGAATCCTTCCAGCACCCTCCATTGTTAATTTCACAACGGCCAGATCCCGAAGCTAAAACAATTAAAGGCACATATTAGCATGTGCTGATCATTGAAGGGAGATCAAATTTATGAATTCATAGTAAATTTCATGCAAAATCATTTTCTTCAGACTGTATGTGGAACAGTGGATAAGCTACCACCATAGGTAGCTATTGCAAAATGTACAACATATTACATTGGGCATTGAACAGGACAAACAGCAGTTCTTCAAGATCAAGTAAAATAAAAAACGTCACTATCATATCTCCTATTTGGTTATTGGCAACATATCCTATGCACACATGCCCTCACGTGTACACACGTGCACACCAATTAAAAAATGTCACCAAAAAATCTAGAAAAAATCATACACATACTTTCAATTGTATTACACCTAGGGTTAAAATCTTAACGTCAAATTCATTATATTTTAGCCGTAACAAAAAAAACAAAAAATCTGACAGTTTTAAGGTTGCAATTTTATCAGAATTTTATCTTTTTTGTTATTCTCTATGTAGAATGAATTTGAAGATGCGACTTTGCACGTAGATGTAATACTATTGAAAGTACATGTATGAATTTTCCTAGAATTTTTTGTGATAATTTTTAGTTGGTGTACACGGTGTGTACACGCGAGGGCCTGTGTGCATAGGATACGCTCCCTTGGTTATTAATATTAACTACAACTACCCTTCACCATGAATAAAACTGAAGGGATTTGTAAAATCAATGGGCCCCAGATATAGTATTGATAACAATTCAAGAAGACGAAAATTGCTTGCCACAAAAATGATACTTTCTTATTAATCTACATAAGTATGCTTTTAAATCTTAACTACACATGCAGACAACAAATATCCCAACTGATAACTTATGCCCTAATGTCTGGTAGCATACCTTCACAGTGAGTGTAGCCATCACCAACAAATTTAACACCTTTTACAACTGGACATTCACAAACTCTTCCACGAAAAGTGTCCTACACGTACACAGCCAAGTATGATATGCATAGCCAGATGGAAAAGTTTCTGAAGAAGATAACACCATAAGAAATACCTTGCATGCAGAGATGTTAGCAGCCTTGTCTTGCCAACAGCCACCATTGTTCTCCAAGCACTCATTTGTTTGTATATCTACAATTCGAAGTAACATGAATGAACAAATACTAAAAGCAAGGCCCAAGCAAGTTAAGCTTGCTGTATAAATTTTTATCATGAATGAGCAAACAGATAGAAACCTATTGAAATTAATGCACCAACCTTCACTCAAGCAAACAGCTGGTTCAGTGGTTTCTCGAAAACCAGCACAAATTGCCTTAAGAACCGCTCCTTTATCAAGTTTCCCTGACAAACAAAGATTTGGATAAGCACACAAGGAACCTCAAAATTGCGTTCTACTTCTTGTAGTTATGATGGATAGCAGAGCACAAACCTCTGTATTGTCTATTGTTGATTACAAGAGTCGGTAAGATGGTAACATCACCACGAGAGCCCTTGCCAATCTACATAAAATGGTGGGTGATGCTAAATTCAGATTACCAGTTGTATGAATAGAAAATTATAGCATGTATGTAGTAACCTGTGCATCCTGTTCAGCTTTCAGCACAGGATTTTCTTTATCAGCATCTGGATCACCAATGCACTTATCTATGGCTTTGTGATCAAGACCTGGACATTTTAAACATACTCAGTACAATTGCTGCACCTCACCACAAAGCATAGAAAGGCATAAGAAAACAGCAACATACCAAGTGACTTGATAACTCCATCAGCGCATTCCTTGGTGTACTTCTTTTCCTTCATTGGGCACCGGATTGCAAAATCTGTCACGTAGTCCCACCACAGCCAAGGTTTTCCATGCTCCTTAGCAACTTTATAAACACAGACTTGACGTAAATTCTGGACTACCACATCTTTCCCATCATACCCTTTGCTGAAATCCTGTTCCGGGTCAGGTGCACAATATCTCCCATGGTTGATACACTGGGACTTGCATTGCTTGCTTAGAATGAAGGAATCTGGGCAATACCAGGTAATGTAATGAGGAGTGAACTGTGTGTATCCCTTCTTCTCAAGTACCTGTGCTGCTCCTTTGAAGCTCTTGACAAACTCAATCTGGCTATCACATTTAGGGCCACATTCATCATTACTGTTAGTCCAAAATTCATACTCAACACGCTCATCAGGGTGAGGCAGGGACTCCCTCCAATCCAAATTCACATTAACCATGTCACCATTATCAATTGCTTTCTTGAGTTTGTCCCCAAAGCTCTTGGTTATCAGCGCAGAAGGAATGGTGATATTCTCTAAATAGTCTGTATTTCCACTCTCTTCAGGAGTGTCCATTGTAATCAGGGGTTCCGTCTTGTCATCAGCAACAAGGATGGCTGCTGCTCCAGCGTTTTGTGCATTCCATGCCTTCTTTGTGAAAAAGCAATCTGTATACAACAGAGACCATGTCACATAACAAACTGTATATTTAGGTAATCAAGTAAGAATGAGACATTAGAGAGAAGACAAATAGAAGTGTTACATAATACTAACAGGGTTGAAAGAAAAATCAATGCAACAAAACAGGAAGGTGAAACAGCAAGACAGTGACCCAGAAAGCAGAAACTACAAACCGCAGGACGGCCTGACAGTAATGTTTCAGACTAGGTTCCTCAACATCATAGATTTGGTCGTTTTACCAAACTGGGTCAAGGATCATTCAACTTAATCATTTCATCACAACGCAAGATCTAATTTTGAACGCACCTAACTAAATACCAAAATATTAATCAACGAATAATTATCCCCCACTTGTGGTCAATGCTTCAACGGCCTCAACCTCAACAAATCTATTCTAGGCATACTGCGTACACGCTCACATACTCCCACATGATTGGCGTTAAGTAGTTTGGTGTTGACCTCCCCTGTCGACGAGGAGGAAGGTGGGGAGTGACCCGGGTTTGGCCTTGTAGGAGATGTCGAAATCGTCGAAGCTCTTGCAGGCCTTCTTGTTGGCCTTGGGGTAGGCGACGACGCCGACCATGGTGCCGCCGTACTGGGGCACGCCGAAGTTGCCAATGGCGCACTCGTAGGTGCCCTTCATGTCGCTGGGCGACGTCACCTTGAGGCTGTTCTTCTCCACCACGAACCTCCCATGGCAGCTACCGCACAGCAGCGCGGCCCACACCAGTAGTGCTAACCACAGCATCGAGTTGGGGGATCGGAGCGCCATGCTCCAATCCACGCCTAGACCTTTGCAATTCGTGGAACCCAGCTGCGGATTGGATCGGATTGGTGGGGGGTAGGATCGATCTTGGGGTTGAAAGGGCGTGCCGAAAGCGGCGGAGTGGAGAGGAAAGATTGGATTTTGACGGCGGGGGGAGGCAGTTGGAGTGAGGAAGAGATTCGTGGATGGATTTGGAGTCGGTGGTGAGATTTTGGGAGGGGACGGGATTTCCGCGAGTTCTTGTGTAACGAAGCAGGCAAAGCAAGCAGATTCAGTTAAGCAGCATGAGCAACGTGTCCATGGCTCCATTTTTTTTTCTTTTTTCCTTTTTTGAGCGTTCTTCTCTTTTCTGGAAGTTTTGAGCAGCTCTATTTTGTTGAAAATCATTATCTTCACACACGAAAGTTCTATATAGAGCCTCTTCTTCACAATAGAGGACATTTTTAAGAATCTAGTTAGAGTTTACTAATTTCTAAAATGTAATTGAAAATCCATATATTCTAAAAAATAGCCTTTAAATTAGGGGCAAGTTTGGTTTGAGGCCAAAACGGACCTTACCAATATTTGGCCAAAGGTACAATTTAGCATGGCCAATATTTGACAAGGCCAAATTGTGTTTGGTTAAGGGCCAAAACTAACCTTGCCAATTTTTGGCTAAACCAGGTTTGGTTTGGTGCCAACTTTTGTGTGCAGCGTGGAATACATATGGTCGATGTGCCACCGCCAAAGCCTGCGTAGGAGTTCAAATTTCAAGCCCGCACTTCGGCTCCCATCAATGACGTTACCGATTCTTTCTCTTCAGGCCGGCCGATATTTGGATCCAAACCAAATTTGTGTTCCTACTGTTTATGTGTCCCATAAATTGGTAAGCCAAATATAGGCCATGAACCAAACTGGCCCTAGACCTTTACTTCTCATGACAGATGATTTATACTGACCCAATAAACTAGAAAAACAAATCTCCAATCTCTGAGTCATGCAAGTAGTGCCATGATGATAAAAACTGACTGAGGTACAAGGTGAAATATGTTTGACGCTACTAGCCCCATCGGATGGCCTAATAAGTCAAAAAAAAAGGCAAATTTTGAATTTTCAAGTTTAATTTTAAAATTGATTTTGGCATATTTTCAACGTAGTTTCTTTTTTCAACATTGGCTTTTAAGTCACAAAGAATATATTGATAAAAGTTTTACTCATAAATTCATTTTTATTTTCTAATAAGCCGTTTTGGCTTATTAGGAAATAAGCCAAACGATGGGGACCTATTGCAGTCATTACAATAAAAAAATAAAACATGACATGTGAATTTATCGCTCACCCATTACTATAGAAGTTGATCTCATTTATCCAGTTTGAGGCTCAGTCCATTTTATCCTGAATGGATGATATATTATCTGATTTTGTGATAATATTCGAGAGTGCAAAAGAACGAGTTAATTATTAAAAAGATGTGTTAAAAAATATCACAAACTTATATATATAATTTTTGTTATAAAAATCATTCAATCTGAAAACGGTCTCATCGATTGTCCATATTCCCTAATAAACCATTAAAAATTAATTTATAGGTAAAACTTTTATATATTTATTCGTAGCGACTTAAAAGCCAATGCTAAAAAGAAATTATGTTGAAAATATTTTAAAATTAACTTTAAAATCATGTTCAATTTTTTTTTTTTGCTTTTGCTTTGGCTTATTAGGCCAATCGATGGGGGCTGAAAGTGTTTATGATAATTCGTAATATGTAAGAGGGAAGAAGGCCATCCCACTTTTACACCATCCGAGGATCGTATGGTCGTATGACAGCTTTTCATCGAAAAATTTTTGATAAGGTGCATATGTTTACTTATATTGAGAGAGAGATTAAGGGACTGCTAGGACGCTTTAAAACTGACTAACCTTCCCGATCGCTTCAGTCATTGATCACCTAAGACATGCCAGATGACAACACAAGAACACACGATATTTGTTAACGAGGTTCAGCCGAAGCCTACATCCCCGGGGCTCTGATTATGGGCGCTCTTCCCCAACCAATATAGCTTCTAACCGCTACGAGTCCATGGCCACGCCACCGTCATCTTCCTGCGTGTCTACGCTACATTGTAGTCGCCATGGTTACATTGTGGTGCCCTCTCTTTATTTAAGAGAGATGCCGGATTACAGAGTCCGACTCTGACTCTACCCCCTAACACCTATTACAACTCCAAGTCCAACCGTAACTAAATAGGACTGGCATATTCGACATCTATTCTAACAGAAACAAATCACTTCTTTCCAACAATCCAACCTTAAGCCAGCGACCAACAGTACAAGAGGACATTTTGGCTAGAGAATGGACTATGCTAAAATGAGTTTTTTTTTTTACTTTTCCAACGACAATGTTACTTTTTGTTTTTTCCTGTGATGGTTCAGTAGAAGAAGTACAAGTACAAGTGTGCAACAAAATCTAATTTGTCCTGATATGTATGTCCAGGAATAACTCTACGAACTAAGCTAGCTCTCAAATGTTTAAAGGTTCACTACTCATCAAAGAGCAGTTTGTATCTTCTGAAAATTGTGTTACTCAGCCTTAATTGTAGCTAGTAGCAGTTCATGAGGCTCTCATAGATGAGGAGAAGGTTTGGATCGTAGAAATAAGGATCATCTAGATCTGCTCCTAGCCCTAATGCTTCCTCCATCACCGTCGTCTCCAACATCTGATGATGGTCGAATTCATCAGCGTAGTGAGATATGACAGATGAATTGGAAGAAGAAGGAGGCACCTCTTGGCACACATGTAATCCTGGCGTTTCATCGAAATTGTTAGAAATGGTTGCTAGATCAGCAGGAGGAGGAGGAGGCAGCCAAGCAGCTTGTTCTTCTTGCTTGATCATCTTGGTGAAGATGGTATCATCATCATCTGAATCATGGTGACCATTTGGATTGGCTGTCAAGTTGTGCAATGCTGCGGGATTATTGATGTTGTTAATAAGCCTAGTGGTGGTGCAGGTGTGTTCGTTGCTGTATGTCACTTGGAACATGGGTGGGTCGTTCTTATCCTTTTGTTGGATTTGCTTGGTGGCCTGGCAACCTCTATCATCTCTATACGTACACCTGAAGTAGCTCCTGTAATGGATATTTTTCATGTAATTAACAAACTGAAATGATTTGGACATAATTCATCATCAGAATTAATTAATTCATTATCAAAACGAACCTTGTGAAGTGAGTGCCCTGGATCTTCTTCTCTCCATATTTTCTCCACTGAAAGCCATCCTCATGAGGCACGGGCGTGAATTGAGACCATGACGACGACTTGTACTCCTCACCATTAATCCTACCAGCGTAGTAACAACAAAATATATAATTAGGCAGATGTAGAGACAAACAATCAGCTGATTTTGCAATGAACTTGATCACTATATATTATATATACCTTCTTCTTTTGGCGGCCGATGATGATCTTCTTGGCTTTCCAACGACATGGTTGTCAGCTGCAACATCTGCTGCAGGGGAACTACTGTTCGCTGGAGTCGCCGCCTCTGCTTTGATCAAGCTCATCACCGGAACGGCAGCAGCAGCAGCAGAAGAAGAAGCATGTGGTTGGTTCATGACGGAGAGGGCGACGTTGAGGGCTCGCAGGGCGTGGTTGAGGAGGCCGTGCGCTAGCTGCTGCGGCTGCTGGTGTACGAGGAGGAGAGGCTGCTGCGTCTTGATCAGCTCGTACACCTGCGCCACCTCCCTCACTGCCACCGCTTCTTGCTCATAACTCAAACAAGCTGATTCAGTAACTGCCATGTACTAGCTAGCTAACTATATGCAATTGTGTGTAGCTAGTTAATCCAATTCTTCGTTGATTGGATCAGCTAGCTAGCCTGCAAACTTAATTGTGGTGTGTGATCCTTTATATATGGATGGCCTGAGACCGGCCTTTCGTAGTTTTGATCAGTAGGTGAGCTCTCCCACGTTCGATCGGAGTACTATGCTGTGGGCTAGCTCGATCTCTCTCTCGGAAAGAAGAAGAAGAAGAAGAGAAGATGCTTGGAATTGATCAGCTGTTAGCTGTGAAACTGAAAATACTTACCACACAACAGCAGAACAGCTAGCTAGGTTTGCTTGGATGAGAAGACGTTGCTTTCGTCGTCAACGTTGACGAGACCGACGACGTACCTGATGTACGATCGATGGATGCTATCTGCTACCAGCACAAGCACTCGTGTAACACATGTATGTGTGCTATCTCAGTATTAGTCTCTCCACTTGGCCTGCCTCACCAATCCATGGCTTGCGTGCATCATATCTCATTTCATATTGCATCATCTGAATTTCTGATGAACAATAAATAAAAGCTTAATTTCCCTCTACTTCTTCCAACTTGATGGTTGGAATAAGTAGTTATTGACCAACAGGTTCACCCTGCACGCATGCAGAGAGAATTGGTGACCCTGCAACTGCAAATTAATCTGCATGTTCAGAGGTTCCATCTGGACTCGATTCGATCGGACAGAGTCAGAATATATGTTGCTGCAGATGGAGAACGGAAGTACGCACGCGTCCATGCAATCAGCCAAATTACGGTTCAGAATTAACTTCTGAATTTCAAACCCCAGCGCAGGAAAACGCGTCCATAAATTTATATATATATATATACATGTGAAATTGTGAAAACAAGCAACGGGATTCATCGCAATGTCGTAATTAAAACTCATAGAACGATCTGCGGGTTAACTGAGGTCATCATCTTTCCTCAACGCGCATCTGCAATTATATAAATCAGAAAAGACACTAGCTATAGCTCCCATCGACTGCGCATGCGTGTGTTGCAATTAGCATACAGATAAACACTGAGATCATCAAATAGATAATGTCTTGTATCGATCTTTGCCATCGATCGGAACATTCCAATGAAGCTAACTAAGATGATTAAGTTACTAACTGCCTAAGATTAGTACGCTCGCGTAAGATCCAACTGATTGAGGGCTGCAACTTGCAATACTAGTATATTAGCGACTACTTAAATAACTTGCCCATATAGCAGTATATATATGCACGATTGAAAGCAGCTTTCTGTGTCACGTTTTACATATATATCCATATAAAGTACTCCTATATATCTATGCATGATTGATGAGCAAGCAACAATATATAATTTTTGAAACCAAATTAAAGGAACTTACGTGAGAATTAAAGTAATGTACATGAGAATTTTTGAAACCAAATTAAAGGAACGCACATGAGAATTAAACCAAATTAAATATTTTTGAAACCAAATTAAAGAAATGCACTTCTTAGTTTCTTGTTATTTTCGATAAGGTTAAGGTTAAACTTT